AGAGAGGAGAGAGAGAGAGAGAGAGAGAGAGGAGGAGGAGAGGAGAGAGAGAGGGAGAGAGAGAGAGAGAGAGGGAGGAGAGGATGGGAGGGAGAGAGAGGAGAGAGACCTGGAAACAGGGAAGGGCAGTGCTAAAGGCGATGACCAATGTTTCGTGACTATGAGTCGTGCGGCGGCGTGTGGTGCAAAAATGTCCATTCACTAGCACTAAATGTCTCCATGAATCGTATCACGTGACGCAGTGCACGTGCAGACATGTGAATGGCTTCCTTGGCAGGCGGCGGCACACCGGTGATATTTAGTTCGTTATTTTTCGTGTTGAGTGCCGCGGTTTCGATGTTGGTTACTCACGAACGATGATGATTTAGATTTAGATGATTTAGATGATTAGATTTAGATGATTTAGAGGTGGTGTTATGCTACGTGATGTATCGTGACCGGTTTGAAGCATCTTACCCAGTTTTGTAAACTTTAGACACAAGTTTAACCCTCTGCAAACTAGTAGAATTCAATCCAGCGGACAATTGCTTTCGTTTAGTTATTCACCGGGAAGCAATGATGATTGATGATTATTGAAATGATGCGAGCGTGTATGTTTTTGCTAGCAAGTAACCAATCCCAAGACTCTTCCTTACTTTCGTATACTTTTTATGGCATTGTTGATGACCACCGTGACCTGCAGTGACCTATTACCTCTGAACCTTGGTGACCTCGAGACCTCGTGATACCCTCAGCTTTATCTACCCTGAGAGGTCAAAATAAAACCGATAATGATCATGCAGGACCGTCGGCGCGCAATATTTGACCCTCCCCTGTGACCCCCCAGGTCTGTCCGCACCGCGGGGTCAAAGCGTTTCCGGCGGTGACCTGCCGTCAGCTCGCAGTCTTTCTGGACGCCTGGCCCATCCCGGTCACAACAGACATGAGTTTGTTACGGCTCTGATGGCGGTCTGGGCGGAGTTTGTGCATCATGATCTGGTGCACATCGCTAGCGGCGCGCCAGGTAAGTCGCAGATGCGTAGAGATAGTCACCAGTGCCGGCCGTATAGGTCACAGTTGCGCGACAACTGCTATGCTAAGTTAGATAAGAAACTTGGGTTTTAATGAGTGATGTAACACATTTAAATTTAAATTTGGTGTCTTTACGTACCAAATGCAACGGTATTTAATGAAGCTTGAATGACCAACGCGGCACTGTGTTTTCCCACGTTTTATGATCGATTGGGCATGCTCACTGTGGTGAAAAACTCCACTAAACCATTTTGTCTTTTGTCCTCTTGTTGATCCGTCATCCATCATTCAGAAGAGGCGTGATGAGAGGCTTGCTGTTACCACTGTCATGTTTTGTATTTTATGATGACGAATTTACCTTTGTTGTTCCACTTCCCCTTGCTTGTCCATCCCTATCCCACCCCAACACCATGAAGCCGTGTGTGGTCCATGATTTGATATCACCTTCTTGCCTGGTTTACGGCGTGGCTTACTTAAATATACTGCGTGGTTTACGACGCTCTCGGGGTCACTACAGAAGGGGGTTGATTAAGGCAAAGGGTGGCTCTCTAAACCCGTGATGAGTGTTGTGGGTCGAAAACGGCTTGAGGTCAGAGGTCAGGTTGTTTGGCCCACTGGGGTCGCATAAGGTCAGTTCAGTTCCTTCCTGGTCCGAGATGATGGCTGAAAGCAAATGATGGGGTGAATAGGGCTAACTCTACCTGAAGAAAGGTGACTGGGGTCCATGAACGTCTCTTGAAAAGAGCTCGAAACGGAAAGAGCTGACATTGAAGACGGCATACAAGAGATGAGATGAAGAAAATGAAAGAAAAAGAAGCATAGAAAGAACACAGAAGCAGGGAGAAGAGAGAAACTGATCGAGGAGAAACTGAGCTCTGCAGTGGCAGTGGCCGCCCCAGTAGGCGAGGAAGGTGCAGCCAGCCACTGGATTCATCTCTAGTGGGGGTGGTATGGGGTGCCACTCCCTGAAGGAGAAAACGAGCCTCCCGCGCTAGTCCCGCACGCTAGCTGGGCTGTAAAAACACGATACCAGTTTATGTGCGGCGTGTCGGGCATTCATATGGTGCAGATTAAGTGTTATAGGCGATCGTCAAAAAACGGTTACGTTTTTAAACAGTAATTCAAAGACCACTAGGTTTGTTCAGAAGGTGTTTTCATAAAAAGACCAACCAACGCTGTGCTGACTGTCCTGAGGAGACAGACGACATTTTTTTTTTCGCTTTGACCTTTGTGAGCTCCAGAAGTCAGACAACTGCACATTGGCTAAACATTACGTATGTAATAAGTCATAACCGTATTCGATCATCCCTCCCTTGAGACCGGCATAAAAAACATCCCTTCTCAGCTGATCCAACAAGTCAACACCCTTCCTAACCTCCTCTTCCCTCACCGTCCTCTCACGGAGTCCCCCGCCTCAAATCTGTCGCCCATCACCTCAGTCGAGTTATTGCCCGTCGGGTGCCAGTGACCGTTAGAAAAGTGAGAGTGCCTGTGGCTCGCGGGGCGGCGGGTGGCAGGAACCGGCTCCAGGCAGACGGACACCCTGAAAACGAAAGTGCTCTCGTAATAGGAGATTGGAAATGGATGGGGGACAGGGTAGTGAGGTTAGTAGGTCTGCGGGTGTGGATGAACTAGGTAGTAACTTGTTCAAATTTTTATATTGTAATTTGGTTATACTTTTCTAGTGGGGGGGGATCACAATTTACATGTCAATGCTTCTGTAAACGTTAGAAGCAACAAAGAGTGGTTAAACGTCATACGGTGCGTTAGATGAGAATAATATTTCATATCTATATCGTTTCTTGTTAATGAACGCCATCAACGAAAATCAATGATTCATTAAATCATGTTGTCTTGGGTTATATGTTGGGATGTTGTACTAACGGAGCGAAACCTGAAGAGACCCAAGCCAGTTGAACACACCCGATACCTGCAAGCTGAACAGCGTGCTCTACTCGATCGGATAACGGCTCTCATCGGTATACATCAACTCTTAGGGGAAGTTGGGGGAACGCCGAAGACTTTTTTCTGACGCCCGTAGCACGCAAGGTAGACAACATACGCTATTCTTGTTGGCGTCATTCGAGAGGCCAGTCTTTTGCCTTTCAAACATACCAGGCGCATTTGATGAATTCGCATACCGTTAAGCGCACAAACTAAAAATATCAAAGAAGTGACTTTTTCGGCGTTGCCCCGGACTGCGGGGAAAGCCGAAAATGGGAGAAATGATCTACGGGGAATGCCGACATTGATGTTTTGCCATTTTATCTCAAACTTTATCCAGAATTCATCAAAGCTGACACACGTTTCAAGAGCTTGAGGACGCGGTGCACACTGGAAGTTATAATTGTGTGATATAATAAGAAAATGCCAGGTAAATCATTCCTTATAGGTAACAGGCCGTTGTGTCGGTTGAAAGTGTAATTTCTTGCTGAGGGCGACATGGCCCAAGACGCTTTTCAGTGAAGTATTCCCATGGTCTCGTTTAATTGCGTCAAAAAGTCTGACTTTTGTTGGCTTCAGGAGCAGTAGAAACCTTATTACAAGGCATATCGTTATATTCTTCATGTAAAATCAAACGTTTCGTCTCTGAACAAAGACATCATCAGTGAAGTTACACACAACAGTACATATTATGAGAAAATAAGCAATCAGGCGACATAACAAGAGCAACACAGTATCGCACATAAAATCATGCAGGCATATCATAAACGTTTCATGTTTCATCAAGGACCCCTAGGTAACGATATCTAATTTATACGCCGACAACTTATCGTTGATGGAAGGCCTAGACTTGAATATGTGAAGCGATTCCAGAATTCTTAAATTAAAGTTTGAACGTTTTTTGTCAATGATCTTAAAATCGTTCAACGAAAATGGTACGTCGCATGCCAATGAATGGTCTCTAACAGAAGAGGCTACAGGAGAGGTAAGAAAATTTCCCGTTCTGTCCGACTTGCCCTGATGCTGGCACACTCTGCTATAAAGGCGCACATAGGTCGAGCCTATGTATGTCCCCTAGGGTGTTTCACATTTTCAAAGTGCCATATTGCGAGTCATATCGATGTTCCCCTCAAATGTCATCTGCTCACAAGTTTCTGTGTAAAATTTCACTTCATTCTGATGATGTTTAGAGGTCGCACATTTCTGCGACTTTTCATCTCTGATTTTGTTTCTGGCCGTAACATGAGTAGTCTTCCTGCGAACTGATTTGGTTGAGAAAGCCAGGCAGTGGCGGTGGAATGAGGGGTGCAGGGGGTGCAGCTGCACCCCCATCGAAAAACATGGGGGTGCAAACATATCTTTTTTGCACCCCCGAAATCCATACAAGGGGCCCGTCGCACCATCCAATACATTTTCTCCTGAAAACCAGTGATCGGGAAACGAACACTGATGTGGAATCATCCGGGGTGTCTATTTATTGTCAGGAGCGCCCCATGCTAGTCGGGGCCTCCACACCGGCTAGAAGTGTCCCGAGCCGCGTTTGGTGCTCCACACGGCATCTGAGGGCCCCCACGACGGCCTCAGAGGGCCCTTTTATGACGATCTCTGAGGGCTCCCACCTGAGGGCTTTGTCCCCTGGGGCCCTATAACGGCCACTAAGGGCCCTCGTGACGACCGCTGAGGGTCCCACAGAGACTCCAGGGGCCACGCTGGCCTCTGAGGGCCCCTATGACGGCCTCTGAGGGCCCTTACGATGATCTCTGTGGGCTCTCACGACGAACTCTGTCCCCTGGGGCCCTATAACGACCACTAAGGGCCCTCATGACGACCGCTGAGGGTCCCACAGGACTCCAGGGGCCCCACTGGCCCCTGAGGGTCTCTACGACGGTCTCTGAGGGCCCTCGTGACGGCCCTAGACCCAACTCAAGTCTGAGGGCCCATTTGGCTTTAGGCGGCCCAGCGACGGCCTCTGAGCCTCTGAGGGCCCCAACACAACCAGGCTGCGGGGGCTATGCTGGCATCTGAGGGCTCTGCAACGGTCTATTGAGGGCGGCAGGGCCCTGACAACGATGGCCTGCGAGTCGTGGAACTCAACCGGAAGGCGCTGCCCAAGCGCACCAAGGAAGGATGTGCCCCCTTCTCTGTGTAACGAGTTTTGGTGACAAAAGTGTGCGACCCCTAAATATACTTAAATTTGGGTTTCAAGCGTATCAATCGATTCAGTTTTACGGGTAGAGTTGGGGCAACGTCGATATGGCTGAATTTTGAACCAACATTATTTTACCATAGTGCAATGAAACACCCTAAATTGTCCCCTCACACGAGGGGCAACTGAACTGATAAACTATAGCAGAGCGGCATGCTTTCGGGATCACGTTTGCGAGACCATCAACATTGCCATGAGCTCCCTCTTTAGAAGCTGTACCAGCATTAATGGCATCCCTCGAAAGTTGTTTCACACCATGCTAGAGTTGGCAGTGACCAATTCTTATTTTCTTTTCAACAAGAGATTATTCAAACAGACAGACGGTGTGGGCATGGGCCTGCCACTCGGGCCAACATTTGCAAACATTTTCCTGTGTCATCATGAAAAGAGATGGCTTGATTCATGCCCTCGAGAGTTTCGCCCGACCTATTACAAAAGATATGTGGATGACTGTTTTCTCATTTTTAACGACGTTTCACATGTAGATCGGTTTCTCAACTTTCTGAACAGTCAGCACCCAAAAATAAAGTTCACTTAAGAAATGGAATTTAATGGCTCGCTCCCTTTTCTGGATGTTAAGGTCGAACGGTCTGGTACTGAGTTAACAACTTCAGTTTACCGGAAACCAACTTTCACTGGTCTTGGTTTGAGCTTCTTTAGCTTCATACCGATTTCAATCAAGAAGGCCATTGTTAGCTCTGCTATTTATCGTGCTTATAACCTTAGTTCAACTTACCACTATTTCCACAATGAGCTGAACTTCCTTTACAAATATTTTAGAGACAATGGATTCCCAAAAACACTTGTAGAGACCGCCATTCACAGGTTTTTGAAGAAAGAGT